CCATGTTTGGATTTTGACTTTGTTCCATCCAAGACAATTACTGAGTGCTATAGAATGACTGTCTAAATCAGTGTTTCTCAACTTGGCCACAAAAAAGAATCACCTGGGAAGCTTTAAAATCCAATCCAAAACAGAACCAGAGCCCTGAACCTATTTTCACATATTCTGATGTCCACTTAATTATCTGGGAGCTGAACCCAGGAGTGGAAGAGTGCCAGTGCCACACTACGTGGGCCCAGTATGTCTGGTAGCCTGGCTCAGTGTCTGGGGTGCCCTTTAGTGTGAAGGATAAGGCGATGAAGTAACTTGTCAGTGTTTGTACCATTCCTGCCATCATTCCTCTACCAGGAACATTTCTTAGGGATGTTATCATCTAACCAGTGTCAGTTCTTTGAATATAACTTTTCTATTATTATTTGGACTTTAGATGTAGTGGCGATGTGTAGAATTTGGTTGCCTGTCCCCGTAACTTTCCAAAGGTATTTGCCATATTAATAAGGGTCAAACGTATTTAAATTACACCAACCCACTGAGGCTGAAGGATCCCTTTGAATATTTGCCCCGAAAGATCTTCAGACCATAAAAGGAAGCTATTCCTTGAGGCTGTATATAAACAAATAGGCAAACCATTTGCTCAGCAAGTGAAGAATATCATCCGTAAGTATTTAATCCATTAAATAATAAACTTATTTTCATGAGGCACACCTCAACTCAAGTTCAACTTATTGTCATCAAGTCTGAACCTGGTTTGGGTTTTCAAAGGCTGTAAATCACAATTGAGGAGAGTATTTGTCTTTCTTCTCAGGAACCGCTAGTGGATTTGAATGACCTGCGTTTGATTTGACAGCACACCTTCTTACCTAGGAGGTCACCATAGCCAAACAGTAACTCTAAAACAAAGATGCACAATTTAGGGGACCAATGAGTATAAAATAATGGGAGTGAAAAAAATGGGAGCAGAAATAATGAGAGTATTGGCACAAACTGAAATATATAAACAGGGCAACTGGAAAAGATGTGTTGTTTTTAGGTGACATTGAGTCAAGTACAACTCATAGCGACTCTGTGAACAACATCGTCATCATCTCTGACACACTTGAACCCATTCCTGCTGTCACAGTGTCAGTCCATCTCGTTGAGGGTCTCCTTCTCGCCTTTGTTGACCTTTCCTAGCATGATGTCCCTTTCCAAAGAGTAGCTTCCCCTAGCAACGTGCTCAAAGTGAATGCGATGAAGCTTTGCCATCCCAGCCTCCAAGGAGCATTCTGGTTGCCCTTTTCCTGGTACATGTCTGTTTTTTAAAAAGAAGATGTATATATTCTTTTGGAAGTCCACTGGATAGTCAGTGCTCTTTTCTAACACCACGACTCAAAGGCGTCAATTCCTCTTCTGTCATTCTTATTCATTGCCCAGCTCTCAGCAGCATAGCAAGTGAAGATCATGGCCTGAATCAGGTACACCTTACCCTTCATACTGACATCATTACTCCTCAGTAATTTGGAGAGGTCCCTAGCAGTGGGCTATCCCAAAGCAGTACGTCTCCTAATCTCCTGATTGTTGGTACCAAGGGTGCTGATTATAGATCTAAATAAGATGAGGTCATTGAAAATGTCAGTCTTTTCTCCTTTGATCACGATGCCACTTGTCCAGTGGTGAGAATTTTTCTCTTCGTGATAATTGAGATGTAATCCATATTGAAGGCAGAAGTGTTTGTTCTGCAGCAAGCGTTTCATGTCTTCCTCATTTTCCACAAGCAAGGTTATGTCATCGCATAATGAACATTATTGATGAGTCTTTCTCCAGTCCTAAAGCCACATTTTTCTTCATAGAGTTCAGCTTCTCAAATGACTTGTTCAGCATATAGATTGAATTGTAGTTGTTGATTGCCTTCGAGTCGAGCATGACTCATAGCGACCCTCTGAACAAAAGGCCTGAAGTCCCTCTACAACTATTGACATTTATCAATGTTCATAGAGTTTCTGGAGGCAGATATGGAAAAAGTATACAACCCTAACACACCTGTCCTCATTTTAAACCATGCAATGCTTGCTTTCTTGTTTGAACAACAGTTTCTTGATTTTAGGTATAGATTTCTCATGAGGAAAATTAAATGTTCTGGGATCCCCATTCTTCTCAATGTAACCATAGGTTATTATGATCCACACAGTCAGATGCCTTTGCCTAGTCAATAACATGCAAAGTTGTACTTGCATATGATTGTATTAATGATATTGTTCAATAACTTCCACATTTTGTTGGATTGCCCATTGTGAGAATAGGTGTAAATATTACAGTCAGTTGGCCAAGCAGCTGTCCTCCAAACTTCTTGGCTTAGACTGGTGAGCACATCCAGGGCTACATCCATTATTTGAAACATGTCAATTGGTATTTCATCAGTTCCTGAGGCCTTATATTTTGTTAGTGCCTTCACTATAGCTTGAAGAAAAAAATTTGTAGTAAGTAACTACTAAATGAGAGTGCATGCTTTGAAGTATATATTTTTCATTAGAAATTCAATTTAAAAACAACACAAGATGACCACATGTTGGTCAAAGGTGCCATTTTCTTCCATGGAATTGTATCTTTCATCTCTTCTTGGTCACTGATGTCCTAACTTTTCTTCTCTCTTCCCTACTCACAAACTTCTTCAATTTGAACAATAACAGACGATGATAAATCCAGCCTTAGGCCATGGTCTAGGCAGCAGAGGATTTTTAAGCAGATAAGTAATTTGCTATTTGCCAGCATGCCCTCTTGGAACAGAGGATCAGTGCTTTTCAGGTTACCAGTTGGAGCACTAAATTAAATTTTCACTAGCAAATATTTGTTCATGGCAATTCAAGTTATTTCTTATTCCATTTACACATGAGGTGGCAGTATGGTATAAAATGAATAGCCTGTTGAAATAGTTTCTTTTTATTAATATATAATCCCCCTTTTTTCCCAAGTGAGAACTTTTAGGCTGTGCAATTAACACTCCAGCATGGCTCTTGGATTTTTTAAATGTAATACATATGTGTAACTGATAGGCTTACTTGTAAACATGGGTCTTGTATCTGTTTTATTTAAATGCAGAAATAATGTCACTGCCACACTGAGGCATTGTCTTTTGCTAGGAGCTTTATGGTTTTGCTCGTTTAAAAGCTATCCAGCTTTCTCCGTTTGTACCTATTACCTAGAGAAGGTCAGCCTCAGATCTACAGTGTCTGTTACAGCAGTGTCTCTAAATATCATACTTTGCAACTTCATGGAAGACCAAAGATCTCCAGTGTTGTTGGGAACAGGAGGAAACCTCTGATCTCGTGAGAGCTCTGGATGATCTCCTGTCAGTCATTTCTGTATAACATGCTTCCCTCTACGACACAGGTTGCTTTTCTTAACGGGAAGGGGAATGCTAAGCAAAGAAGCAGCACATTCTGATGAATGTTACAATACAATATGAGGATTCATAAATGGAAGAGGAAATTATAAAAGCATATTATAAAGAGAGTGAATTGATAATATCTACAAAACATTTTGTGAAAAATGTAGATCAGAATCCATAGGTGAGTTCATAAAAGCCGGCTATTTTCACATGTGTAAGAAATATTTACAGTTGTATACTTGGACCAGGAGGCAGTCGTCAGAACAGAGCAAGGAAACACTGCATGGTTCAAAATCAGGAAGAGTATATGCCAGGGATGTGTCCTGTCTCCATACATTTTCAATCTATATGCAGAACAGATCATCTGGGAGGCTGGGATCTTTGAGGTGGAATGTGATATCAGGATTGAAGGAACACTCATCAACAATCTGTGTTACGTAGATAACACAACCTTGCTTGCTGAAACTGAGGAGAAACTGAAGTGCTTGCTGCAGAAGGTCAAGGACGACAGCCTTCAATATGGATTGAAGCTCAGCATCAAGAAAAAAAAGATTTTCACAGCCTATTGACAGCATCATGATAGATGATGAAGAGATAGAAATTGTTAACAGCTTCAGTTTGCTTGGCTCCACAATCAATATCCTTGGTACGAGCAGCCAAGAAATCAAAAGACAAATTGCCTTGGAAAAGGCTGTTGTCAGGGACCTCTCCAGAGTACTGAAGAGCAACAGCATGAGTCTGGAGACAAAGGTGCACCTGATCCAGGCCGTGGTCTTCACAATTACTTAACTATGTGTCAGAAATCTAGACAGTAAAAATAGGGATGATAGAAAGAGAATTGATGCCTTTGAGCTGTGGTGCTAGAGAAGAGTGTTGAATATACCATGGATTGCCAGGAGAACAAACAGGTTTGTCCTGGAGAGGGTGAAGCTGGAGTGCTCCTTGGAGGCAAGGATTCTGAAGCTTCGTCTGACATACTTTGGGCATGTTGCAAGGACAGACCAGTCCTTGGAGAGGGACGTCATGCTTGGGAGAGTGGAGGGACAGTGCAGGAGAGGATGGATTCAGTGGCTGAGGTAATGGGGGAAGGTGTATCAGAGATAATAAGGTTGGCAAAGAATAGTGGAAATTTCAGGGCTATTGTACATAGGGTCACTATGAGTTGCAAGTGACTCTACAGCACATAACAACAACATGTTTCTGTTCATGTAGCTTAGAAATGTAAAGGAAAAAAAAAAAAAAGAACAAATTGGACAAACATTTTAGCATAAATACGACCCTACATCAAATTTAGCATAATACTTGCTTTTAACATTTTAATCTGACTCCTTCCTTTGAAAACAAAATGCTATTTATTGTCTGTACCTAATAATGATGATGATACTTGCTCAGCTTTAGAATGATTTTGTTTGAATTATAAAGTTACTTATGTTAATCTGGAGTTTTATTTTGAAGTTTTCTGTTAAGGAAATAGATAAAAAGTTTGTTACTGGTACAGAAATGATGAAAGAATGGATTTTTCACTCTAGCTTGTCCTGAAATCCAAATCAAAGGCTGTTTGATGACGACTTGCTTTTGTAATACACTGGCTTTTGTGCATAGTAAATAATTCATATATTTTCTGCTTTGATGGCAGATTTTTAGGACCCTGCCTGATGCCACATTCCCTGAGCCAGTCTCGCTGTCAACGTCACCCCCCAATGCACCACCAAGGCAATCGAAGAGACAAGGACAGAGGAATAAGAGACCTGTGGCTGTATATAATCTCTGTCTTGAGCTGGAAGATGGTAAGATGTTCATTATATTTTTGAGCTTGACAGCATGTTGAGAATATGACATATCACGTGTCCTCAGGGCAAGCCACAGTTTTCCATCTTTTGGTCCCCCCCCCCTTAAAATGATTTGTTTTTTGAGATTAACAGGCAGAGTAAAGCTTTCTTATCAGAGGGAAAAGGCAAGTTTCAGTTTTGTGTTTGTCTCTGTTGTGCTTGGTTCTTTTTTTGTTTTTAAAAGACAGCTTCAATTTCTTTTTTGGGAGACTCGTGTGACCTCCTGTGAGGTTACATAACCCTGAGACAAACGGAAAGGGAACTAAAATTAAAGCAGATCTTTTATGAGATGAGCTGATAGAGTCTAATGGTAAATGCATCTAGATTAAAGGCACAGCTCACCCCTGTGATGGAGTTTGTCTCTGCTGTACCTTTGTTCCCCAGCATTCTTGCTGACCTTCCCGTACGGCAGGGCTACATGGTGACCAGCCAGAGCCAGGCTCAGTGAAGTGGTCTGTAGTGAAACTCTGCACATGGATGGGAACATTTCCCATTCCGCTGCACTGCCGTGACCCAGCTAATTGTTGCCATGTGGCCAGTGCTTTCACCATTGTTCTATGGCCCAGTTTTTAATGAGAGCTTAGAAGTCTTCAGGTTTAAACTCTGTTCCATACAAAGTAGGACTGTGAGACACATAGAGGCTCACTGATTGTTATTTATCACGTGTGGTTGTTGGTGTGGAATATGAGATGATGCTGGAGTCAGGTCTTGCATGTCCAGGAGTCAGGTCTAAAACTGTGACTATTTCCTTGTGGGGCTTCACTTCTATCAACATCTCTTGAATGTGACGTTGGCCTTCCCTTTTTTTATTGTTTCTTCTCATTCTTATATAGATGAACTTAATTTGTTTTTCCTTTTTTTTTTTTATTAATGAATGGTATTTATTTAAAAGTGATGTTAAAATAGGAGTGATGGAACAGGCAGAGAAACCACATGAAACTGTAAGCCTCGGTACGGGCCACCACCCACCCTCTGCTGCTCGGCGCCTCTTTAAACCCTGCTGTACCCAAAAGAATCGCTCGAAGAAAACCCGCGGTCGCGCCTGAGCCATGTCATGAGGGCTCGCCCAGTGACTGAGGTCCGGGCAGCAGCAGGATGCCCGCAATCTTAATTTGTTTTTCTATCAAGCATTAAGTTTATGTTGGTTTTAAAAGTATGAAATGATTATCCAAGAGGCAGAGGAGACAAGGTGCAAGGTGCAAACAGATGCAGTGCCTTTGTGGTAAAGAAGTCAGAGCTCACTGTTGTCAAGTCACTTCCAAAACCTTCCTTGGAGTTTCCAAGGCTGTAAATGGCAATGGGAGGAAACTTCCCATCTTCTTCCCAAGGAATTGCTGGTGGATTTGAACCACCAGAGACTGCAGCCTGTGAATGATCAGCTAACTCCCTACAGACTATGCTGCCAGAGCCCCCTAGCCTTCACCGTAAGCAGCTATGCAATCAAATGTCAAAGATCATGCAAGACAAGTAACTTCAACCTACCTGACTTGGAGAACTTGAAATGGTTTTGGCAGTGACACTATGAGCAAGGATGTGAGCTTGCAGTAGGAAGCTTCGTCTGACATACTTTGAACATGTTGCAAAGTGGGACCAATCCTTGGAGAGCGACGTCATGCTTGACATGCTTGGGAGGGAGAAGACGACCCTCGATGAGATGTATTGATTCAGTCACTGGGGCAATAGGAGTAGGTGTGTCAGAGACAATAAGATTGGCACAGGATAGAGCAGGGTTTAGCGCTCTTGTAAATAGGGGCTCTATGAGTCACAGGCGACTTGAAGGCACATAACAACAACAATAACAATAACAACAACAGCAACAATAAAGACCTATACTCTTAACATACAAGTATTAGTTTTACAGGCAGATCCTTGTTTTCCAGAGCCAGGACATGCTTCAACCTTTCATTTCAGAGCTTCATTTAAAAACCAACCTGTAATTTTAGAGCTTCATTTTAGACATTTCAACTGATGCTAGCTAACTTTTTTATTCTTTTCCTCCCACCCTCTTTTCTCACTCTCACTTTCTTCGGTAGAGTTGCTAATAAGGAGTAAAACTGACTGGCTGGAATTGCACTATCTTGTATATCTCACCTGTCCTCTAGTGGAAGTGTTAATAAATAGTGAAATAAGCAAATGTGGGGGCAGTAGAAAGGAGAAAGAGACCACGAAGACAGAGAATAATGCCCAAATTGGCAAACTGACCCTTGAGGAAAACTGTATTTATTAGAATTCACACAAGTAGTGACCAAAAAAGCAGTCTTCTCTAAGGTTCGCATTTCGTTTTTTGAGGAAATTAATTAACGTGCAATTTGTGTAGCATATTAATCTTTTTTGACCTTTCAATTGTTAAATGATTATTGATGCATACACAGCTGTTAAGTGATAGACAGAATATCATGTGTGGGAATATTCAATATGATATACAGTCATGGGTTTCCTAGCTTTTAGCTGATAGGATAATTCTTTAACAAATATAATATTTTAAGAGAAATAAAGCAAAAGAATGTATTGCCAGATGCTCAGCACCTTCAACTATTTTTATAGTCATTATTGACACTTTATTCATCATTTGATTTTACAAATGAATAACTCTAAAGTTAGTTCTTCTTGAGTGCAGCTTTGCATTTTATTTGGACTATTGTCAAGAAGCCCAGAGTAATTTTCTTTAATCTTAGAGATTATAAGATAAAGCAGTAAGAAAAATTATTGAATCTTCCCTTTCCCAGTTTCTCCAGTTAAGCTTTACTGATATTTAAGTTGTGTGAAAAGTGTTATCTCAGAGAGAAGAAAATAAGATTTGTATTTTTCATATACTTTTGGTATTTTGCATATACTTTTTGTCATATACTACAGATATTTTGCATATCCTAAAAAATGGAGAGTAAAATTAAGAGACAAGAGAGGTAAAATACTCTTCTGAAAGGAAGCATTCAGTGAGAGGATGCTAAAACTCTGGTTTTTTACTAAAATTATCACTTAGCATGTTCAAAACTTTATCCCTTCAAAAAAAGAAAAGAAAGATGCATTCTTGTCACTAGCCTGAGTCATCTTAAATAATTGTCATTTCCACTTGAAGATTTCAAAATACTTAATCATCTTTGTATTTTTTTCCTACTGAGAGTCAATTTCCCTCCCCCGACTATGCTGTTCTAATTTTGATATGTATTGTGGCCAATTTGGATTGGTAACTTTTCCCAGTTTATATGAATGCGATAGATAAAATTTTAATGTAAATATTTCCCCACCCCCTCAAGGTTCTCATTGTAGTATAAGTTAAAGCTGGTTTAGTAAAATTCAGAACACATAGCTGTCGCTTAAAAGTTAGATAGGCTGTCTGCCAAGATTCAAGGAACTGATTTAATAAGATTTTAGGATGACTGGAGTTTTTATTCAGCCCTATGATTTGGTCACAGATTTGGTATTTGAGTGAAGTGGTTTGTGGTATGTTATTTCTTCTGCATTAAATAGAGTATGAAACTATGTGGTGTATCAAACAGACAACCCTGGAAAATACTTAGAATTGGTTTAAATTGAGCATCAAGCAGATCAAAACATCCTTAGCAAAGAGTCAGCAAGCCAGTTAGTAGAAGCCATAGTAAGAGGGTAGCTAACCATGGGAATCTGCTCTGTGGCCTGGAAGCAGAGAATCTACCCACTGGTGAGGAGGAGAGAATTTCTTTGCTGTTATACTTGAATGTTACTGTTATATTCATTCCTTTTCTCCCATACCACAAATTGAAAGGTGAGTAGTGAAAGAAGCTCAATACTTTAATGAAGGTTTTAATTGGGATTGGCATACCCTACCATGTATATATATAAAAAAAGCTTATTATTATTTCTTGTATGATCAAATGATATTAAATGTTAGCTTTAAAATTGTGTTTACTGGCTATGAAATACTGGCTGATGATTAATATGCACTAAAATGGAGAGAATATTTAGTTGGATTTCTTAGACTAAAAGCAAAACCTTACTGACTCATAGTGACGCCCCATCCGGTTTCTCAGGCTGTTAATCTTTACTGGATGAATCTGCTGCCATCTTCCTTCCTTGGAGAAATGGGTGGATTCAAGCTGCCATCCTTTTGGTTAGCAGCCCTACAGTTAACATAATACTAAACTACAATGGCTGCTTCTTACAATAAGAACAACGAATACTCATTGCCATTGAGTCAGAATCTATTCCTAGCTTACTCCACCTAGTTGTTGCTGTTGTTATGTACCCTCGAGTCGCGAGTCGCTTACAACTCATAATGACCCTGTGTACGACAGCCCTAAACTCTGCTCTGTCCTGTGCTAATCACACTGTCTCCAACACACCCGTTCTCGATTACCCCAGTCACTGAATCGATCCACCTCATAGAGGGTCTTCCCCTCCTGTGCTGTCCCTCCACCCTACCAAGCATGAGTATGTTAGACAGAGCCTCAGAATCCTTGCCCCCAAGAGCCGCCTGGTTTAACCCTCTCCAGGATGAATCTGTTTTCTTGGCAGTCCATGGTAACCTCAACATTCTTCTCCA